TAATTCACAAATTCATTATGCACCTTCCAAAGGGGCAGTTTCCTAGCTGTGCACTTAGAGGCTGGTGTGATGCACTGACGGCGAGGATTCCCAAGAAAGCTTCTCTTGGCAGTCTCAGTCCTGGGTCTTCCAGCTCTTCATGATGCTCTGGGCGATACTACTGGTGCTGGGTGAGTAGATGGCTCAACATGGGCATCGAGTGAGATGGGAGGTCTTCTTCCACCTCAGATGTGGCCATTCTTGGGGCCCAGCTCCAACTGAGAAACCATCCCCACATGAGGAGAGTGTCTTTTCAAACTTTACTGTATGGCTCAGGACTTCCTCTCTAGAGCCTGAAGAAAGTGGTCACAGGTGGAAGAAAACCTTAGCCATAACAGAAAATGAAACTGTAGTGACCACAATTAAGGTTGCCTTTATTTTCTTCAGTAAATACTTGATTAAATCCAGGACAAGTGTTGAGTTTGCTTATTTGTGTTGTCTTTTCCAGAGGAGACCTCTCTCCTCTCTGCAACAGAGATTTTTAAATGTCTGGAATGACAAGGCTAGAGCCTGACGCTGGGCGGATGATGCCTCTTTCTGCATACAAATCCAAACCACAGTGGTAAATGGGAGATTAAGAGCAAGGAATAGGAATAGGGGTGGTGGGAGCAGACCTAGAATATGAGACAGGCAAAGTGTGCAATGCTCTTATCGTGCCTGACTGTTCATAAGTCTCTACCAAATTGGTTGATTTCTACCAAGGTTGAAAACAATTAGAACTCATTATGTTAATTCATCTGTTCAGCAAATACTTTTTACCAATATACATACACAGAGCCCCGCACGATAGCCTGGTGGCTAATCCTTGCCTTGCAACTGCCAGAGTCCCGTATGGACACTGGTTTGTATCCCAATTGTTCCACTTCCATCTTGTTTGTGACCTGGGGTAGAAGTAGAGGATGCACCAACGCCTTGGGACCCTGTACCTGAGCGGGGGACCTGGAAGAGGCTCCAGGCTCCTGGCTTTAGATTGACTCAGTTCCAGTGATTTCAGCTACTTGGGAAGTGAACCAGTGGCCAGAAGATCTCTCTGTGCCGTTTCTTCTCTGTGTAAATCTGCCTTTCCAATAAAAATAAATAAATGCTAAAAAAAAAAAAAGAAGTATCCATACACAACACTGCAGCAATTGCTGACAATATTTGGAATACGTGGAAGGCATGATTTGCTTACGCAGGAAGCTCATAATATACAAGAGTTCTAGTTGAGGCAATGTATAAAAAGCAACTATGCAACAAAATAACTATACAGGCGAAGTTGCCAAAGCATGGTGCAGGCAAATAATGAACTATAGATAATATCCAACTTAAAATGCTTGATGGATGACTCCTTAACAATGGTAAAAAGATGATACCCTTTCAGCAGAAACTAGATTCTGAAATTCCTTCTTTTTCTGTGCAGTGCTCGCATGAGGCTGGGCAGTGGTAATGAACCATGGTTCCCAGTCATTACCGAATCACCAGGGAAACAATCAATACTCCACAGCATGCTACATTGCTAGAGAATTTTTGTTCTTGTGATGTTCATTCATATCCTGGCTTCAATATATCACACAAAACAGTCAATTCTTCACTGTTAAATAGGCTGTGTATTTGGTGCTGTGGCACAATAGACCACCACCTGGGATGCTAAAATCCTGTACTGGAGCACTTGGTCAAGTCCCAGCAGCTCTATAGCTAATCATTTGCCTGCTAACATCCCTGGGAAAGGAGCAGATATTGACCCAATTACTTAAGTCATTGACACACACAAGGGAGACGTGGATATACTTCATAGCTCCTGACTTTGGCCTATCCAAACCCCAGTTATCAAAGCTATTTTAGGAGCAAGCCAGGGGATGGAGGATCTTTCTGTCTCTGTCTCTCCTGCCCTGTTACTCTGTCGTTCAAATAAATAAAATGACTATTTTTAAGAGGCACTGGTTTAGTATCAGTCCCTTCTCTAGACAGCCTGATTATTTTTGTTGTAAGAATGAAATTTATATACAAAACTACTTGAGCAGCAGTAACAGCCATCAAACAGTATAGAGTCAACTAAAACCTCACTATAGAAGCCAGTTCATAAATAAGAGCAGCTCCTGACTCTGAGACAGCCTGATTTTTTTTTTCCATTTTTTAAATTAATATAAAGAGAGAAAGCCAGCATTGCGGTTTTTTGGTTAATTACAACCAAAACTGGTTTTTTGCCAATTGCAACGCCGGCATCCACATGGGTTACAATTCAAGACCAGATGGCTCTACTTCTGATCTAACGCTCTGTCAATGTACCTACTAAAGCAGTGGAAAATGGCCCAAGTGCTTGAACCTCTGTACCCATAGGAGAGATCTGGAAGAACTTCCTGACTCCTGCCTTCATCCTCACAGAGCCCAGTTATTGCAGCCACTTAGAGAGTGAACCAGTGGGTAGAAAATTCCTCTCTCTCTCTCTTTCTCTGTAGCCATGTCATTGCTTTTTTCAAATTTTTCAAAACTATAATTTCAATTTAATTTGTGATCAGAGGCTAATGCATTACTAGCCATAATACCCAACAAGTAAATCTACACAGACCACTGTTCCACAGAGTAGAGACAAGGGTAAAAACAATTGCCCAGTTTTGTTCTTTTACACATTTTGTATCCTATATTAACTACCACATGATTTTTTTCCCACATGATTTTTAAAAACGAGTTTTGTGTTAGATGATTTAAGCAATTGTGGGTTAATGTGAGTTCTGAGGTATTTAAGGTAGGCTAGTCTAAACAATAAAGTTCTGTTAGATGTGTTAAATAGTTTTTTTTTTCTTAACTATTTTCAACCTAAAATGAGTTTGTGAGCTGGTAACCATATTGTAAGTTGAGAAGTATCTTATATACCAAATATAAACACTGTGAGAAGGAGCGGGGTCCAGGAACGGAATCGGTCATGATACAAACCAAGAGGACTCCACCATTGAAAGGTGCATGAATTCCAGAGGTTGGAAGTACAGTCTAGTGTGGCAACGATACAGAAGATAAATAGGGTAACAGCTGAGCACATGCACTTTTGAGTCAAATAAAATCTGGGTTCAAATTCTCAGCCTTGGGATAGGCATAGTGGAATAATAGGTTACTCATTGGCCTCCTTCTCTGGAATCTGATAAGGGTGCCAGTTCAAGTCCCAGCTACCTCACTTGCCATATAGCTCCCCGGTTATGGCCCAGGAAAGCAATGGAGGATATCCTAAGGTTGCAAGCTTTGGACTCAGCCACAACTCATCTGACTGTTGTGACCATCAGCAGTTGGAAGATTCTTTCTCTCCCCCTTTTTTTTTCTGAAACTCTTTCAAGTAAAAATAGCAAACAAATCTTTTTTTTTTTTTTTTAAATTCCATCTCATCATTTATTAGTTACTTAAATAATTTTTATCTGAATAATTGTGATCACAGTACTTATCTCAAGGAATTATTGAGATTTCATGAAACAGTGTAGGTAACTGTATATCACATAGAAATCTCTCAGAGACATAGTAGCTGCTTTTAAAATAATACAAAAGTTATCGTGACCAGGTAATCATCCATTGTTCTTGGATAACTCTTCCATTAGCCCTGTATGGACAGAGACTATGTGTCCCTGACTCACTGCTGGAGGTTCATTGCCTGGCCCTAGCCTATGGTTGACTCTCCAAAAATATTTGCCCAAGAAATCAGCCAAATCTAGAAAATTTCCTCAATTGATAATTCTTCCAATTTTGCCATTACTGAATACTCAAGCCTGTATTCTGCTCTTTTCTAGTTATTTATTCTTATTGAAAAGACAGATATACAGAGAGGAAGATCTTCTGTCCGATGGTTCACTCCCCAAGTGGCCTCAACAACTGGCACTGAGCCAATCTGAAGCCAGGAGCCAGGAGCTTCTTCTGGGTCTCCCACGTGGGTGCAGGGTCCCAAGGCTTTGGGCCGTCCTCAACTGCTTTCCCAGGTCACAGGCAGGGAGCTGGATGGGAAGTGGAGCTGCCAAGATTAGAACCGGCGCCCATATGGGATCCTGGCACATTCAAGGCGAGGTGTTTAACCGCTACGCCATCGTATTGGGACCTCTTTTCTTTTCTTTTCTTTTCTTTTTTTTTTCCATCTTTTCTGACCTAGTTCTTTAATTCAGTATTCAGCATAAATTAATAAAATTCATATATATATATATATATATAGAGAGAGAGAGAGAGAGAGAGAGAGAGAAAGAGGATATTTGGCCCAGTGGTTAAGACATCATTTGCAGTTCTCACATCCCTTATCATAATTCCTGGATTCATATGGATTCATATCTCAGCTCCACACCCAATTTCAGCTTCCTAGTAATGCACAACCTGGAGACAGTAAGTGATGGTTCAAGTATTTGAGTCCCGCACACCCACCTATGAGGCCTGTGCTGAGTCCTGGACCCTGGCTTTGGCATTTTTGCAGTCACTTGAGGGGTGAAGTAGCACATAGAAGGTTCTCTCTCTTTCCTAGATACTGCTGTAGGTTCTTAGTGATAATCAATGGACACAAGATAAATCCCTTCTCTTACAGGCCTTGCTTTCTAGAGAGGAGATAGTACTCAAGCAGATAAGATAAATAGGTTTTTAAAAATCTAAATAATTTGGATAAACATATTAAAGAAAGGTATATTTGGCTAGTTCTTCTTGACCTCCCTTCTAACAAGTCTCTCTCTCCCTTCCCCTGAGTCTCCCGACTGCCAAACTGTTCCATCTAAGTTCCAAATTTCAACCTTGTCCTACTGCTACTTAAAATGTTTCTTTCCATGGCTTCCGGTGGCTTTTGTAATAAAATTAGCACTACTGACTTGACCTCTGCATGCGTCGTTAATCATTTTTCCCCCATTACTCCATACCTTCTGGACACCCATTCATTCCTGAACATTCATGTCATTTCTTCACAGCTGGGTCCTTGCTGCCTTGGTTGCCCTCCCTATCATCTCCTTTACACAAACTCTGACCTTCACCTCACTTCACTCTTCTCATTCACAAATTCTCTCCAATAGCAGCTCTTTCACGTACCTTACATGGTCCACCCACCATTGTCAACAGAGATTCCACGTATATTTCTGTTATTGCACTTACAACCTGGCTTATAGCTATATGACTTCATGTCATGTTTGTGTCTTTCTCCTGCCAATTTCTAAAAAAAAAAAAAAATTCGTTCGTTTATTTATTTGCTTGTTTGAAACGAGAAAGAGAGAAAAGAGATTTTTCTGTTGGTTCACTCCCCAAATGCTTGCAGCAGTCAGGGAGGGACAAGCCAAAGCTAGGAGCCTGGAACTCCATTCTGGGTTCTCACGTGGGTGGTTGGGGCATGAATGCTTAAACCAGCTTCCACTTCAACATTAGCAGGAGTTTAGAGATAAAACAAGGCAGCCAGCACTCAAACCAGCATTCCAATATAGACATCCAATCCACCATGGCACCAGACCTGCCATGCAATGTCCACGTAGCAGATATCCCTTTTTATTAATTTTAGTATTCAAAATGTAATGCCATAGTATATTTAGATATTCAATAAATAATTATTAAATTACTTAAATGAATTCTAATGGAAGGAAGAAACAATAATCATGGATAAGGGTGAAAAGCAGCTATTACCTTGCTCCGAGTTGATCTCTGGTTTTTTTTTTCTTTCAGCTCCCATTGGTGGACACTGTGGTGAGTTTTCTTTCTTTTGCTTTCAATGTCTCTGGAGAAGACTGTTGTCTTAATAGTGTGCGACATTTGCAACAGCTGCCTTGATGACTGTAATGTCTCCTGATATTGTTGTTCATTTGTTTCTTTTTTTGTTTTTTGTCAAGGCCAAGTGACAGTGGTATCTGATCTCTTGGTGTCACAAAGGGCCAGAATAAGCTCATGATCACCCTGTGTCCTTCCCTGGGCATGGCTCTGTGTGCACAATTAGCAAATAGTCTTGTTCAGTAAAAGCCGGGCATCTACTATTGCAAACGGATCCTGCTTTGCCAAGCAAGACGTCTTCAACTCCATAATAAATGTATAAGACACAGGATAGCATACTGTCTGATCAGCAAGCCATGAAAACTCTGAAAACATCCCAAAGCAGAAATGCCAGAAGCAGTTTTGCATCCCCTGTAGTTTAGAAACAAAATCCTCCATGAAATGTGTGGAACCAGAACATCCAACATGCGAGCCCTTAAACAGAAAGAAATGTACAAATTGGTAGAGAAGCAAAACTGTCTATATCACACATTTAAAAAAAAATTCTCACTCACCAATATCATTATTTTGGGTAAGAAATTTTTTTGGCTATTTAAAGATCCAACAATAGCAAAAATTTTCTTTCTTTTTTTTCTTTTCATTTCTCTCTGTCTCTGTCCCTCTCTCTCTCTCTCTCCACACCCTCCCTCTTCTACAGTCCTCCTCTGATTCAAAATCAGCTTATCCAGCTATACCTTGTCTAGATTGTTTCTGGATTCCAGTGAGTAAATTGTCCATTCCTTGCTCTGCCACAATTAGTGATGATGGGATTTTTCTAGGTGATCAAGTCCTTATCTGTGAAATGAAGGAGTCAGGTAAATTGATCTCTTGAGCTTTTCTCAGGACACAATTCTTAAAATAACGTAATTTTTTTTAGAGGAAGAGTAAAATCGCAATTTTAACAATATCTTTGAAAATTTTTTCAAGTTTATGAGCATGATGAAATGGAAGCCAGGGTCATTTTTTTGTTGTTGTTTTTGGATCCACTTCTGCATTGGGAAAACTAACCATTGGCATTTTACAGTGTATCCTGATGTCATTGCCATGTTGAAATCATTTTGTTGGTGACCATTGGCTGAGCAGTCATTCACTCTCCCTAGGAGGAAATGAGTCTTCCTAGCTGATTCATATCCTGCCCAGAAGACTCTGTAGTAATTCTGCAGTCCAATTTTCACTGATCATTGCAGCCCAAACCACAAACTCCTCCATCTCAGATTCATTTTCTCTTCCACAGAAACTATACCCCAGTCTTTTATTGCCCTCGATCCTAAATGGACCGTCAACTTTGAAGGAGAGACCGTGAAATTGACTTGCAATGTAGTTCATCGCTATTTATCCTGGAAAACAACATGGTATCATAAGCAAATTACCAAGACAGTAACGATGACCTCTGGAAGAATCTTCCAGGCCCGTGAGTCTGGAGACTACAGATGCCAAGTTACTGACTCAGCTCTGAGTAGCTCTGTGCACTTGGTCTTTTCTAAAGGTGAGAAAGAACTAAAAGGACAACTTCAGAAATCATGTCCAATCAATTTTTCCTTCCTAGTTGTGAAATAACCTGTGAGTAAACTTTTATATCCCAAATTGCAATTAGATTACATGAAAATGAAAAAAAAAACACCATAAAGTATCTGGGACAAAACCTATTGTAATTGTAATTGTTATGCATGAACAGCTGAGGATGATAGATTAAACATATAAACACAATTCTACTCGATCTGGGTTTGATCAGAGTCAAATCCTGGGTACCTTTTTAATCAAGCAGACACTAGTGATTGGATAAAACCCTATAGGGTGAAATAGAAGAATTTTCATTTTCTCAGCAGCTGCTCAAGTAAAATGAAATCTAAAGTCACTTATGTGAATGGTTTCTGAATCTTTGTGTAGTTTTGATCCATATTATTTAATTTGAATAATTCATAGCATGCAGATGTTTTGTATTAAAGATCTGGATAAGGGTTGGCACTCTGGCTTAGCAGGTCAAGTACTGACCTCCCATGTAAAGTCCTGAGTGCTCCACTCCTGATCTAGCTCCCTGCTAATTTCCCTGGGGAGGCAATGGAAGATGGCCCACGTACTTGGGCCCCTGCACCCAGGTGGGCAATCTGGAAGAAGCTCTTATATTCTGGCTTCAGATCAGTCGATCTGCAGGCTTTGTAGCCATTAGGGGAGTGAACCAGCAGATGAAAGAACTCTGTCATTTTTCTCTGTAATTTAGCCTTTGAAATAAACACAAAGATCTTTTTTCAACAAGCTCTATATAGATGACAGGTAGGTTAGCACAGTAAAAGTCAGAGAAAGGAAGAAACATTTTGTTCTAAAAATCGCTGCTTTGAAGTTGCAGCAGTGTTATCATAGTTACAATGCTCTTTAATTTGCAAATCAGAAAGCAGCACAGCACCAAGACGTGAAAAACACATTTATGTGATTCATCTAACAATTTCCCTCTAAGGAAACAGCTACTGAAACAATCATGAGCATTATCCCTCAAAATGCAGGATCCCTAATGTTCAAGAATAGAAGACTTAGGAAGTAAACAGAATTGGTGTTGTTGAGAATCATGTTCAATTAATGACATAGAAAAGTGTTCATAGCATGGTAAGTTACAGACAGATTATCAAGCCTGTAAATATCAACTCATTCCATAATAAGAAAAACATACATGAATTATTATCTACATAAATAGATGAAAGAAATTTGAAAAAAAACTGAGTGTTGAGATGATGGGTGATTTTACTCACATTTCTGCTTTTCAACTTTTCTAAAAGTACATGTGTTCATTTTACAGTCAGGAAAAAAGGATGATTTTCCAATAATCCTTCCTTATGTTCCTGTTCCTATAAAAATCTGATCTGAATAACAATGAAAAGGAAAGAGGGGAAATGGAATGAACCAAATAACTTGTCTTATGATTTCTGTAGCTTCGCTGATTCTGCAGGCTCCACCTGCTGTTTTTGAAGGGGACCTTGTGATTCTGAGGTGCAAGTCAAGAGTAGAAGCAGCAGCGTCTACAAAGGCAATTAACAAGAATCGTAAACATCTGGAATTTCTTGGTGAAAGTTCTGAGTTCCACATTCATAATGCAAGTCTGAAAGACAATGGTGACTACCATTGCACTGAACTTAGGAAAGAGTGTTGTAATGCTTCCTCCAACACAGTCAAAATCCAAGTCCAAGGTAAAGCCATCATGGTTTGGGGAGGGGATTGGTCAAAAGGACGGTCCCTGGGGTTGTTATAGAAGACAAAGGTGCATTGAAATACTATTGAACCTCTGGGCCCATTCCTGTGGGGAACAGACAAAGTTTGCCCATGCGCGGTGGTAAGAGGGGTTAGGAATCAAACATGACACCCCTTTGCTTGTTTCTGCCATACATTTTGTCTGTATGTGCTGAGAATGACGTGTTTTCCACCAGAGCAGTTCCAAGTCTCACTGCTCTGGGGTGCTTGTGATCTTTCTCTCCAGAGCTGTTTCCAAGACCTGTGCTGACAGCCAGTTCCAGCAGGCCTGTAGAAGGGAACCCATTGACCCTGACCTGTGAGACCCAGCTCCCTCCCCAGAAGTCACATGTTCAGCTCCAGTTCCGTTTCTTCAGAGAGAAACAGACCCTGGGATCAGGCTGGCAGAGATCCACAGAGCTCCAAATACCTGCTGTTTGGAAAGAAGACTCAGGAAGCTACTCATGTGAAGCAATGGGTTCCTCCATTGAGAAAAGCAGTCCAACATTATCAGTTCAAGTACAGAGTGAGTATGTGTGGGTTCTAAGATCACCCCAGGCATGGGGTTTTAAGTTGGCCACTGGTTCACATAAAATGTTTCCCCTATGTGTAGAAAAGGGAGTTGAATGAAAAGAAAGACCTCAGTTTTCAACAGCTCTTAGGAGAGGTAAGAACAAGTGAAGTCCAGCAAAAGAAGGGTTTTTCCCCCTTTTCTTTACTTTAATGTCATTAGATACAACTCTCTTTTGTCTCTGAACTCTCTGGTTCCCTGACATATTTTTCTGCTAAGCATGTAGGTGTCAGCAGTGGGCATGGCAGAGCCCTCTGGCAGGCTTCAATAGACCCTGTACAACCTTAAAGACAAACTCACAAAATGCTAAGAGCTTAGTGGCGAGAGCTGGAGAACAGGAAAACTAAAGGACAGTGGCTTGGGGAACAAACCATTCCAACTTCATGCCATTAGGGGTAGGCCTATATCCATTGTCACTTCTTCCTACATTACTAAATGTGTATAGGTTCTCAAACATAACAGCTAACCGCTGGCCAAATGCTTTTCCAGCTTAAATTTGGTCTGTTTCATGAAAAATCTGGTTGAGAATTTGGAAAAGATGCATAATCTGGTATACACACTTTACTAAGTGAACAGGAAACAGAATTGACAGCTTTCCCTTAAGTAACTCTCGTTTTTAGTCAGAAACAACATTAGTGATCTTTCTGGCAGATGCAGCTGCCAGATGTTTCTTAGAGCATTGATTTAAGGAAGAAAAAGTTGAAGAAGATGGGGCAGGTGGAGGAAGTTACCCAACAGTTATAACACAGTAACTCCTAACTTAAACTCTCCCTCAACATAACTGATAGAACAACAAGCTCCAGTTCTTATTCCCCTCTCTTCAGTCACCTTTTATTGGCCATCAAGTCCTCAGCATAACTCAAAAAGGCACCACTCTAAGCCGTACTCATTGTACAAAGCCACATCCATCTCAGATGTGTGACCTTTATATCTCAGATTTTCCTGCTCAGGGGAACTGTCCTGGCTCTATCCCCTTTGACTAACTGATGCATGAAGGGTTGGGATGTATTTCCTCAAGAGCAAATGTACTGCATGTGCCAATGGTTCATTTGACACTGAACCCCTGGACACAAGCCTCCCTGTCCCATTAACGCCTTCATCATTTTCCCCAACTACGGTGCATTAGCCATCATTTCTGTACTGCTCTTCAGGTTGGATAAGTAGATATGGAGCAAGGTAGGCAGAGTTACCTCTGCGTCTTATGCCTGTCTGTGTAAGAGCAGAGGGCCTGTCTAGCCAAGGAGGGACCACACTCTCCTATTTCCTCCCTCTTCCCAGGCCAGCTTTCCACATGACATCATTAAATATAACCTGTGATGTTTTCTGCCCATGAATAACCTGCTGCTAACCATGCCATACGTCATCTTTATTCCTTTAGGAGCTGCTGTCAAAGTCCAAGTACACACTGTCCCAGCCTCAGAGTCAGTGTTCGAAGGGCAGGAGCTGGTGCTCATCTGCTCAGTAGAGGGCATCCGTGGGCCCATCACAGTGTCCTGGTACAAAATATCAGGCAGAAAAAGAACTAAAATTCAGGATTCACAAGCAGCAGAATTCAAGATCTTGGAGGTGAAAAGCAGCGATGCCGGAACGTATACCTGTGAAGCCAACAATAGTCATTATCACTATGACGTCAACAAGCCAGTAACCATCAAAGTAAAAGGTGGGTCCTGGCAGGTATCACCTGAGGAATGGATTATCAAGACACACACCAACACCATAAGTTTGGGAGAGGGAGGTGGATATTGGTGGTTATCAATAACAAAGCTCTGGAAAACCTACCAGCAGTTAGCCGAAGATTAGTACAGGGAGTTAGGGACAGAAGGTACTGCAGAAAAATGGGAATTTCTGGAAGCTCTTAGAGAAAGGCATAAAGAAAATGTCTGTGAATTTGGCATATGTCCAAACATATCATTTTTCCTAATACTTTGTTAGTTTAAGTAAGCAATGCTTGGAAATCAGATTCCTACAGAGACAGAATTTCCTTCAACCATCTCCTGTCTTCATAGCACTCTGGGAAGGAACCTGGTGCCCAGACAGTGGCCTGGGGAGCCAACCAGCAACGAGAGGCCACTCTCTGTCAGAGGGAGCTAAAGAAGTAAGCTAACCTGGCCAGTAGGATCAGTCAGGGCCAGGTTGTGTCCCCCACAAGCTCAGAACTTCATCTACAGAAGTTCTTGCCTCTTCCTGATCTTTGGTCTTCTCCTCTGTAAACAGAGAAGATCAAGGTTGAGGGAGATAGGCGTACTGGAGGAGATGTTAGAAGGCTGTGTATTCTAGAGGACATAAGTCTAGGGCAGAGCCCTGAGGCCAACACAGCTGGTAAGAAAAACAAAGGTTAGGGACTGACAATATTCAGAATGATGTGTGCAGGAGGGGCAGCTCCTTTGTGGTCACAGGGCAGTGGAAAGTGGGCAAAGAAGGGAGTTGTACAGCTAGCAAGCAGCAGGAACAGAGACTTCATCCCCAACAG